CCTTCTCAGCGCCATATTGTGGGAGAGCAGATGCATAGAATAAGTCTTAATTCGAGTAACAGTCTAGTCCGGGTTGCTCCCCACAGGGAGCGCCGTTCTCAAGAGAATTTTGGGGCCATGCACATCTGAGCTGTGATGTTGGGAGAGTGAACTTTGGGCCCAGAAGTGGACAGGGCGTGGCCTCAGCACCTGGCATCTCTGAGCCTCCCTGCTCTCACCTGGTGCCTGGTGTGCTAATGCAGGTTTGTGTTCTTAAAACATCAAGGAAGGGACAGCCAGTGGGGGTCGCAGGTGAGTGACTGGAGGCACCACCCCCACGCTCCGCCCTGCCCATGGAACATCCTTCCAACTGCTTGTCAGTCTTTTTTATTTTTAATATGTATTTATTTATTTAAGAGGCGGAGTTACAGACAGAGAGAGAGACAGAGAGAGAGGTCTTCCATCTGCTAGTTCACTCCCTAGGTGGCTGCAATGGGGAGCTGTGCCGATCTGAAGCCAGGAGCCAGGAGCTTCTTCCGGGTCTCCCACGTGGGTGCAGGGGCCTAAACACTTAGGCTATCTTCTACCACTTCCCTGGGTGCATTAGCAGGGCGCTGGATCAGAAGAAGAGAAGCCAGGACTCGAATTGGTGTCCATAAGGGATGCCAGGATGTGATGGCTTTACCTGCTAAGCCATAGTGCCGGCCCTGCTTGTCGGTCTCAGCAAGACCAAGCTGGGATTTCTGGAGGCAGATCTCTAAAGAGATTCGCGGCCAGCGCCAAAGCTCACTAGGCTAATCCTCCGCCTGCGACGCTAGCACACAGGGTTCTAGTCCCGGTCAGGGTGCCGGATTCTGTCCCGGTTGCACCTCTTCCAGGCCAGCTCTCTGCTATGGCCCGGGAGTGCAGTGGAGGATGGCCCAGGTTCTTGGGCCCTGCACCCCATGGGAGACCAGGAGAAGCACCTGGCTCCTGGCTTCAGATCAGCGCGGTGCACCCGCCACAGTGTGCCGGCTGCAGTGGCCATTGGAGGGTGAACCAACGGCAAAAGGAAAACCTTTCTCCCTGTCTCTCTCTCTCTCACTGTCCACTCTGCCTGTCAATAAAAAAATAAAGAGACTCGCAGGGTCTTCAGTGTTGTTCCAGAGAAGGCTGGGGAATTGGCCAGGACGTTCGAGGGCGCGGCATGCTGGTTGTGCTGGGTGAGAGGAAAGCCAGCCTGAGCTGATCTCCGTATCCCAGGGGGCTCTCGCTGCCAGCAGCCCTGCTCCACAACCGGAGCAGGGTAAAATACGATCCTCATTGTCCCTGGGGGGGCACATTGTAAATGAACCCCAGAAGCAGTTCCAGGTGTAGGAAGTGGGCCTGAGAGGGGGACCAGGGTTCTTTCTCTTTGGCACTGTGACAACTCAGGGGTTGGGTGTGGCTGTCATGACTACGAGCTGCAGGTATATTGGGTGCTGGCTAGCACAGGCACCTTTCACCACAGACCGCGTCCTGGTCAAAGATTAAGAATCTCGGCTGGGGCTGGCGTTGTGATCCTGGGGGGTCAAGTCACCATCTGTGACACAAACAGCCCATATCTGGGCGCTAGTTCAAGTCCTGGCTGCTCTGCTCCCGATCCAGCTCCCTGCTAATGCACCTGGGGAAGCAGCGGAGGATGGCCCAAGTCCTTGGGCCTCTGCACCCATGTGGGAGACTTTGGTGGAATTTCAGGCTCCTGGCTTTAGCCTGGCCCAACCCTGGCCATTGTGACCATTTGGGGAGTGAACCAGCAGATAAAAGATTCCCTCTCTCTCTCTCATTCTCTCTCTCTCTCTCTTTCTGTTTCTCTCTCCCTTTTCAATAAATTAAATACACCTTTTTTTAAAAAAAAAAAAAAAAAAGCCCCACAGCCGTCAGCCCACTGGACTGGTCACCACCCCGTCCCCCTGGACTGTCCAGTGGTTACTGCACAGAAGCGTGTGACGTCATCTCTGTCCCCTGGAGTTACACAGTAGCAGGTGCAGAACCTTCGGGTCCCAGGCATCTCTTCCAGGCGGGCTGGAGCGATGTCTGGACCCAGGCCAATGACTTTCGCGCTGGGCCATGTCCATTAGCAGAAGCTAATAGGCTATCATTTCATAATGACTTGAAGCTCTCTCACTTTGCAAATACTGGAGGAATACGAAGTTTGCTCAAGTGCCCCTAAAATGCGCATTTGCATCACCTGGGACTGGAAATTGAAATTCTTCATCGTTCTCCAAATCAGCCAGTGCCCGGCAGCGCGGGGAGCCTCGTCTGCCTGCGGTGTGGAGGCACCTGCTGGGAGCTGAGGTTGAGACAGGAAGATCAGAGATGCACAGGCACACAGCAGAGGCCCGGAGAGAGGGGTTGGTGCTGAGGGGTGCGGTACCAGGAGGCAGGCAGGCTGCGGGACAGACCCTGGAGAGAAGGGGGGGGGTGGTCAGGATGCAAGGGGGTGACCACCATCAAGCCCAAGAGACTACAGTGGGGACCCAGCCCCGAGGCAATGGATTCCGAGCGCACAGCTGAAGCAAGCCACAGTGGTGGCCATCCAGGTCACGGACACCCGGAGGGCGGTGGAGGCTGGCCCTAGGAACCGGAAGAAGTCCGGCTCTTAATGCAGTGGAACATCAGAGCAACCTTGGCAGCAGACCGCCTCGATGCGGAGTCGCTGTAGCTGACTCTAAGGGCGGCGTTGTCCCGAATGGAGAGAGGTCGTGAACAGGCAGCCATGGCTCGGACCGCTCCCAGTGCCGGTCCAGCGGCTCCAGCTGCAGGAAAAGGAGAGAAGCAGAGGGAAAGACGTTGTCCCAGTAACAAAGAGGAAGAAGAAAAGAAAGCTAACATACCCATGGAGGCAGAATCCAGCATCGTTGTCCTGTGGGCGATTCTCGCTTCCACACGGAGACAGCCAGAGCATCAAGAAATGACAAAATAGGGCCGGTGCTGTGGCGTAGCGCAGGTAATACCATTTTCTGCAGTGCTGGCATCCACGTGGGCGCCAGTTCGAGTCCTGGCTGCTCCAATTCTGATCCAGTTTTCTTTATGGCCTGGAAAAGCAGTGGAAGATGGCCCAAGTCCTTGGGCCCCTGCACCTCAGGAGACCTGGAAGAAGCTCCTGGCTCCTGGCTTCAGCCTAGCCCAGCCCCAACCATTGTAGCCATTTGGGGAGTGTTTTTTTTTTTTAAAGATTTTGTTTATTTATTCGAAAGTTACACAGAGAGAGGAGATGCAGAGAGAGAGAGAGAGAGAGAGGGGTCTTCTACCTGATGGTTCACTCCCCAATTGGCCGCATCAGCCAGAGCTAAGCCGATCCAAAGCCAGGAGCCAGGAGCTTCTTCAGGGTCTTCCACACAGGTGCAGGGGCTCAGGGACTTTGGCCATCTTCTACTGCTTTCCCAGGCCACAGCAGAGAGCTGGATCAGAAGTGGGGCAGCCACGTCTCGAACAAGCGCCCATAAGGGATGCCAGTGCTTCGGGCCAGGGTGTTAACGCACTGCGCCACAGTGCCCGCCCCAGCCATATGGGGAGTGAACCAGTGGATGAAAGACCTCTCTCTTGGAAGAATAAAGTGACTTCTCAGAGCTTCTGCACATCATAGAAAGGAGACAACAAGACTTTTTCATCTCGTTTTAAGGAAGATCCAGTCATAATACCGTGTCCTGAGCTCCCATTACAGCCCAGGCCCTTGCTAAATTCTTTAGGCAAGTGAGATCATCTAAATAGATAGTGGGTGTCACTTCTGTCCCGTCAGGGCCCTTAGCCTGGGTCAGGCTGTATTGGCACCTGCACTCAGCAGGTACCAGCAACACAACTGCAGACCTGGTTCCGGGGGGTGCCCAGACCAATCTAGTTCTATTCATGACGGCCCTGCAGGGAGACGGTTTCCGAACCTACCAGCAGCTGCTCCACGCCCTGCGCATGAGCCAGCCCCTCCCGCTGGGCTCCGGGTCCCACCACCTTTGCCTTCCTGGCCCCCACCATGCTCTGGGAATGAGTGCCCACTCACACCTCCTTGCCTCTCCTCCCCACTCCATTCCTAACGTTTCCTAAGCCCGATGACCCTTGCCTTTGTCTATCTGGAAATCTCCCTTCAAGGTCAAGGCCTTTCTTACATCCTGTACCTCCCCTGGGGCTGTCCTAGGAGCATCTGGTGAGAACCCAGGTAACCCCTTTTCTCTGATTCTCCCCCACTTGAAACATGGGCTTTTAGTCCGTCTACAGTCTGGTCTCCTCTCAGCCGTGCACAGAGGAAACCAGAGGAAATTGTGCTTCACATATAGTCTCCCCTGGGAACAGAGCCCACTAGAGCACGCCACAGATCGGGTCCAGCGAATTGAGATGGGTCTTTGCATCTCCTGACCCCAGTAGTGCCACAGGCCTGGAGGAAGGAGCCCTGGGCTGCAGGTGTGGGACCCTCGCAGCTTCCCCAGGGAGCCCCCTGCCTCCTCTAAGGAGAACCAAGTCTGTGCTAGGTTGCCTGGGGGGGTGCTCACCATCAGAAGGCTCCAGATCCGTGGTCTTGACTCAGAGCTTCGCTGTCTGCTCCCACCCTACAGCCCCCTGCACACACGTCTGCCCTGCGGTGTCCCTGGGGCTGGAGGACCGGGCAATCTGGTAGCACCCAGCCTTCGTGTCAGGATCCAGCTCATGGCAGTGGGCAAGCAGGGCCTTGGACAGGGCTCAGCTCCCTCCCGTGAGCCTCCCTCGTCTCCAGGGGGCGCTCACGGTCACCAGTGGAAAGACAAGAGGACCCCCGGCCTCTATTTGCACAGCAGAGCCTGCCCGCTGGTCCAGGTCTGGGCATTGCCCTCCTGACTATGGCAAAGGTCGCTCTGCCCACGGGGTCCAGCAGGCGGCAGGGTGAGGGTCTGCTCTCCGAGGGAGTGGCGCTCAGCTGCGGCTTCTTCCTGCCGGCTACTGCACTGGCCCTCGCAGTGGTTGGGGCGGAACTGGTGTCTCTCCCGTGGCTCCGTGTGTCTCCTAGGGGACAGGAAAGGTGGTTATGAGGACCAGCCCCTTGGCCACGCCCTCCGTGCTCCCCCAGGCAGACCCCCGCCCCCACCCTCACCCCCAAGCCTCTACTCTTAGGGCCGTCCCAAGATGTCCAGGGCTCTGCCCCGGGGAAGTGAGTGGGGTAGAGACTTCCGGTCTGAGGTAGGCTCAGGGGTGGGAGACTCCAGAGGGTACTTCCGGGGGCGGCCAGCCTGCAGCCCGGGGCCCCGGGGCCCTGCAGCCCCTGTCCCCAGCGTCGCTCCTCCCTGCCCTCCCCCCCAGGCCCCTGCACCTCGTCTGCTTGCAGACGCCTCTCAGCTGCCCCTGTTGGTTTAGTCTCAGGCCCAGACCCTGTTCAATATTTGTCTGCCCGTCCGGGCTGTTTGCTCTCATTTCCATATGTTTAACATACATATTATCTCCCACCTGGCTCCGTGGCGGCCCTGGCTGGCTCAGCCTCAGCCTGGGGTGCTCCCCGGCACCCCAGTTTCTGCTGCCTCACTCTCACCCCACCAGAACGGGTGCTGGGGAGCTGCAAGCCTCTCACTGAGCCACGTGTGCCCGCCGCATGCCCACGCACAGGGCCCCGGAGCCCCCCTACCCCCTGCTGTCCTGGTCGTGGGTCCCTCCCTCTGGCTGTCACTCCGGAACTTGCGCTGGGGTTCTGGCCTGGCCAACCCCGTTGTTTGTTGAAAAGATCACATATATGGCAAGTGCGTTTGCCACATCTAACCTCCTGGGCACCACGGCCTAGCCTGCCTCACTCAGCTTCAAAGCACGGCTCCAGCCAGAGGCCTCGCCAGCGGTCATTGGAAAATCATAGGTTGAACGATGGATAGGTGGGAACCCACGCGTGCTGATTCATATCCTGGAGCTCTCACCCTCGGTTAATGAGACGTCAGGGTCAGAAGAAGAGGGAAAGGTGTCGGGAGTCCCTGGGCTGACTGTCCCCTCCCTGATCACACCACTGTCTTCTGCTGTGTTCACTTTACATCCCCTGGTCAGGCTTTGTTCCAGACATTAGGAATCAGGAACCAACCGGCACCTGCAGGAGCTCACCTTGAAAGCAGCCCAGCATCTGTACCTCCAAGTCCTGCCCAGACCCTGATAACTCTCCAGGTGGTCTCAGCCTTCCCCCAAGGAGAGCTCCCCAGGACAGGCCTCTCTCCTCAGCACCAAAGACCTTATGGACCTGATGACACGGAGCAATAAGACCTTCACCGCCCCCCCCCCCAAGGCAGGCGCCCTAGGTGCAGCTCCTCTGCCCGATGCCAAGAGGACTCCCCAGACCTGGGGAGGCATTTTCCTAATTTACACTCAGCAAACCCTTCGTCCTGGAGGAGAAGGCGGAGTGGGGAGAGAGATGGTGGGACAGTTAGACGCATTGCCTTAAATCCCCAGCCTAAATGTAAGGTAGGCACTCTTTCTCTCTCAGGTTCTGTCTGGAGAGTGGGGCCCATCTGTTCTCGCGGATGCCCTGCCCCCAGTGAACCTTGCTACTTTGCTTTCCACTGCTCTCCATCTCATGCCTCAACCCCATGACTAAGCTCCACTGACGTCTTGACAGAGCTACTGTCTGCCTAGCAGTCCAGAGCCATGCACTGCCCACACGATCCACAATGATCATCAGACACGACCACCAAGCTCCGGCTTGAGTGCTCCTCCAACCGTCCTCCCACCATTCCCGCAAGTCCTCCCCCTGCACCAGACCCCGGGCCCGGAGGGTCGGGGGAGTGGGGGGTGTGGGCAAGATGGCAACAAGTGCCCATGTAGCACGGGCATCAGACATTTCTCTACAATGCATGGCACAAGCTTCAGACAGTGCCTGATTCCGCCAAGCGTGTTTGCAAAGACTTCCCACCAAGTTCAGGGGGCTCTCACAACCCCCCTCCCCAGGTCTCAGTTCTCGACACATGTGGCTCTCCCTGGGAGCCTGTCCCCATGGCCTGCCATTTGCAGGCGCAAAGCTCTCTGTGACCGTCCTGGCACGAGCCGCGTCCCCCTGCGCCCGTGTTGTGCCAGCTGTGGAGAGAAGACACCCCATCTCAGTGCTTCTCGAGACCCCCAGACTTTCAGACTGACGCCCAGACGGCCTCTCCCCGCCCCGGCCTCCAAAGGAGGTCCCTGTCACATGTGCCTAGCTTCCCCATGCCTCTGGTCTCCTCTCCTTAAACCCATCTCCATACTTCCAGCAGTAAAACTTCCTTAAAATCTCGCACGTCAGCTCTTGCTGGCTTCCCACTGCCCGTGGGCTGAAACCCACGCAGTTGGGCCTTCCACACATCAGGGTCTTTGACAGGCTGGATCCACGCGCTGCCTCTGCCCTAGCGTGTCCCAGACCTGAGAGCCCCTTTCAAAACCCTGTGCCTTTGAGAACACGTCCCCTCAACTAGAAGCGCTTCCAATCAGAGCACCCCTGCTGATACCTGGAAGTTGGTTCAACCCTTGGGTCTAACAAAGTTGATACTTCCCACTCTGGTCTCATTCCATCCTTCGAGTCTGTTCTCAGTTGTCTACACTTCCTAGGGTCTTGCTTTCTTACTGATTTTGATGAGAGAGAGAGAGAAAGAGACAGAGACAGAGAGAGAGAGCGCTTGCATGCACCACTTCATTCTTCAGATTCCCCCAAGAGCCAAGGCTGAGACCGTCCACAGATACAACCAGGAACTCAATCCAAGTCTCCCGTATGAGTGGCAGGGAGGTGGCGACTCAAGCCATCAGCTGCTGCCTCCCGCTGTGCACCTGTGCAGGAAGCTGGACTGGAGAGCTGGAGCCAGGGCCCAAACGCTGATACGGGATGCCGATGTCTTAGCCAGAGTCCTGACTCCGAGGCTGTCTCTTAGCAACCTGATTCCTGGGCCTTTCCCTTGTCCTGTGTAGCCAATAGGATGCTGGTGTGACAACAGGTGACTTCCAAGGTTAGCTCATAAAAGACACTGCACCTGGGGCCGCCGCTGTGGTGTAGCAGGTAAAGGCACCACCTGCCGGCATCCCATACGGCCGCTGGGTCGAGTCCTGGCCGCTCCACTTCTGATCCAGCTCTCTGCTGTGGCCTGGGAAAGCAGTGGAAGATGGCTCAAGTGCTTGGGCCCCTGCACCCATGTGGGAGACCTGGAAAAAGCCCCTGCACCTGAGTTGGGGACAAGAAAGAAGCTCCTGGCTCCTGGCTTCAGATCAGCTCAGCTCTGGCCATTGTAGCCATCTGGAAGTGAACAAACGGATAGGAGATCTCTCTCTCTCTCTTTCTCTCTCTCTCTCTCTGTTTCTCTGTAACTCTGCCTTTCAGGTAAATAGACAAATCTTTAACAAAAGACTGCAACTTCCTCTTTGGCGCTCTCTTAATGACTCTGTGGATGCCAGAGCTATGTCTGGGAGACTTACAAACTGCCTTGTGCTTGGGCCAGTAGGGCAACAAACTCTTCAACCCACCAGTGTGCCAGGGAGTGCTACTCTCAAGTGGCTCCTGCAGCCCCAGTGGAACCGGCAGACGGCCGCAGCCTGGGCCGACCTCATGGCTGTAACCATGTGCACCCTTGACCTAGAGCCACCCAGCTACACCCCTCTTGTATCTGAGCCACAGAGCTGGTGCTCACTGGTGTTGTAAGCCCCTGGGCTGTGGGACACTTTATTCTGTAGTCTCGGATGACAAATGCAGTCGCTTTTGCCCTGTCGCACTAAATTACATCATTTTAAAGGCTGCTGCTACCAGCCTGTCAGTGTCTCTGAGAACTTGGCCGTGAGTCTTTCACCTCAGGATCCATCAGTAATTAATCTCTTAAAACCTTAAACACCTAGTCCATTTCCAGCTTGTTCAGCGACTTGACACATGGAGGTACTTCCAAAACTCCTCATAGATGAAAGGAATTCAAAAATAAAATTTTTAAAAAGGTATAAAAAAGTTGAAATCGTGGGGCTGGGGCTGTGGCATGGAGGGCTAAGTCACCACTTGTGACGCTGGCATCCCACAGTGGCGCCCCAGTGAGTCCCGGCTGTTCTGCATCTGATCCAGCTCCCTGCTATGGCCTGGGAAAGCAGTGGACGATGGCCCAGGTGCTTGGGCCGCTGCACCCGCATGGGAGACCTGGATGAAGCTCCTGGCTCCTGCCTGTGGCCTGACCCAGCCGCAGCTGTTGCGGCCATCTGGGGAGTGAACCAGCAGGTGGAATATTCTCTCTCTCTCTCTCTCTGCCTCTCAAATAAATACAATAAATCTTTTAAAAAATTGAGGGGTGTTCAATAAGCTCACAGAAAAGGCAAATTACAGAAAAAAAAACTATGCGCGAATTCCAACTTTTTTTTTGCACCAAATTACATGTATCTTTTAAGTCTATTTCCCATGCACTCTGGGAAGCACCTCCTATTCCAAGGCGTGTGCTATATGTAGCTAAATGCGGCGCGTGTGCTACATGTAGCTAAATGCGAGTGAAACAAGGGGCAGCTGCTGGCCCCAGTTTGTAACAATAACAGCCCCAGCTTTCCTGACCCTGACCCCAAGCTGGGTTCAGTGTCTCTTACACCAGGTGTCTCCACTAGCGAGTTGGATGCTGGGAGTGCTTTGTCAGCTCCTGCCGAGAGCTCACTACTGGGGGCTTCTGAAGCAGATTTCACTGCCTATTCCAAGACACAGGTGCACGTGATGGCTCCCGCTTAGGCACCTTTGCTACCTGGCCCTGGCCCTCTCCTTCCCACGGCTACGAGCCCAGGGTCCTGTGGCCAGGGTTGTGCTTCTGTGTTCTGAGCTTGCCCACGGCAGCAGTGCTGTGCTCAGCTGCGCCTGCGCGCGTACACACACACACACACACACACACACACACAGACTTCCTGCAAGCACCGGGGTTCTGTTTGCTTGGAAAGACGGTCCAGAAACTGACCTCTCTCCTCTGCATCCCAAAATAGCTCCTTGATGCTATCTTAAAAAAAGCAATTTTGGAGCCAAAAATTTGGAATAAAGCTGAGTGCCGGTAAATACCCACACAGCTGCTGCCCAGGGAAGCCAGGCAGGGTTAATGGAGACGCTAAAGGCGTGCGTTGTTTGTGTGCACCTGCAGGTGAAGGGCCTCCGGCCTGGGTGTCAGAACCCCATCCCCTTCCCAGGCCCCGTTCTGCTTTCAGTAGCAGGATGGAGAGGCATGGGCACTCCACCCCTTTGCTGCTTGTTTTCTTGTGTAGAAAGGCAGCCGTCTTGGGGCTAATGTTGTGGTTTAGTGGGCAAAGCCACTGCCTGCAGCGCCGGCATCCCACATGGGCACCAGTTCGAGTCCTGGCTGCTCCACTTCCGGTCCAGCTCCCTGCTAATGCACCTGAGAAAGCAGTGGAAGATGGCCTAAGTGCTTGGGCCCCTGAACCCACATGGGAGGCCCGAAGGAAGCTCCTGGCTCATGACTTCGGATCGGCACAGCTCGAGTCATTGTGGCCACCTGGGGAGTGAACCAGCGGATGGAAGACCTCTCTCTCTCTCTCTGCCTATGCCTCTCTATAACTCTGACTTTCAAATAAATAAATAAATCTTTTAAAAAAAAAGAGAGAGAATACATTCATATATGCCTTAAACAAAAAGTGAGACAAAGGTGGGCGTGGCCCCTAGCCATTAAGATACCCCACATCCTTCATCATAAAGCCTGGGGGAGGCAGCAGGCGATGAGTCAATGGCCTGGGGTCCTGCCACGCACCTCACCTGCCCATCTACACCTCCAACCTAAGCCTGCACGGTGCACACAGCCAGCACCACTGTAGCCGCTGTGTGAGCCCACAGGTGGCCCATCTTCCCGGTCCTCCCATTTCTCAACAGCACCGCACATGAATTTTTAAAGTCAAATGGATGTAAATTGATCCTATTTCAATTTTCTTTGCTTTGCAAGGTTTGCTGATGCCTCCTAGGATACCTACAGCCTCCAGGGGGCTTCAAAAACGCATCTGGGACCTGGGACCCTGTGCTGAACTCGCAAGCAGTGGAGACCTACCCTCGTAGGTGGTAAAGGGCGTTCTCTCCCACCCTGAAATCCTGTGTCCATCTCCCCGGCCATCTCCTCATGTGAATGCTGTGGACTGCACCGGGGCCCGGGAGCAGACTGACTGAATGCAAAGGACGAAACCTTTCAGCCTGCCTTCCATTTGTCTCCCAACTCAGCTCTCAGAGGTCGTTGCAAACGCAGGGCTCCTACAAAGGGGGCGAGCTCTCTTCTAAACTCTGCTGTGGAGACTCAGGGGGCATCTCTGAGCCTGATCGGCTTTCTCCTGGCCATCCCATCCTTACAGCTAGGATGTTACAGATGCGTGCACCCTCCATCCTGGGCTCTCACAGCCTCTGCTGCAAGAGGTACTTGAACAAGACATTTCCCATCCGTCAAAAGCTTCACATCTGGGGGCTGGCGTTGCAGCGTAACAGGAAAGTCAGCCGTCTGTAGCAGCAGCATCCCATATGGACGCTGGTTTGAGTCCTGGCAGCTCCACTTCCAATCCTGCTCCCTGCTATTGCAACTGGGAAAGCAGCAGAGGCTGGTCCAAGTGCTTGGGCCCCTGCACCCCATGGGAGACCTGGAAGAAGCTTCTGGCTCCTGGCTTTGGTGTAGCCTAGCTCTGGTCTTTGCGACCATCTGGGGAGGGAACCAGCAGATGGAATATCCCTCTCTCTGTCTCTCCCTTTATCAAACTGGGACCTTATGCCAGTCCCTGGCCCCACCCTGCATGGGGCTTGCCCATGCACTGTCTACCCCAGTCCCAGTGCAGATGTCAAGTTCTCTGGGAAGCTTCTCCAGTGGCACCCAGCCTGGACGAGTTGCCTGTTGCAACCAACACTCTGTGGTATGATTGTCCCTTAGCTGTTCTTACCCACCCACGTCAGAGCTCAGTGGGGACCACAGAGCCACCTGCCATCACTGTGCGCTCGGGACCCAGCAGCGTAGCTGGCCCGTCGCGGGCAGAGCAAATGCACACACTGCACCTGCCTGTCTCGCCCCCTTCACAGGCTGTTCCAGGGAGGGGAATGTGAGATTTCGTGAGCTGCTCCCAGTTTCCTGGCTACAATCTCCTCACCTGGAAAAGGCATGGCCTGAACTAGCCCATTGTCTCTCATTCTTTCCTGCACAACCATCTACAATTCTGTGATCCTAAAGAAGCCACATTAAGGGGACAAGGAAAATGGGAGCACTCTAGCCGACACAGGGATGACAATGAATGTTACTGAGTAGCCTTCTACGTGGTCCTTCTAAGCTGCACATGCCAGCGGCTCAGGTTGCAGAATAGACCTGGGTCTTTCCACACTCTGAGGTCTGCAACCCCCTCCATCCACCCCGGTCATCAGCAGGGCCAATGCCTGTGTGTTGCCCATGTTGAATGGGTCAGCCCTTGTTTTTCAGGTTGCTCCGCCGTGACCCCACTAAATTTTCTCATCCTGCCTGTTGGTTTTGAGGATAGTTCTCTTTTTAAAAAGCCAAAGAAACAAAAATCAATAATGTGCAAAAACAAAACACACACACACACAATCATGAAAGGGGAAGACAAGCCCAGACAGCCCTGTGCAACTGAAGTTTAAATTAGAATACAACAGTTTAATGCTCCTGGAGACCACACTAGTGTTTCTTATCAGATTTCCCCTTCAACGAGCAATTGTGAAACCATTCTGTCAGAGGAGTGAGTTGTTGTTCCGCCCGATGAACAAACACCATCGATTTCAATGTGCGAAATGTGGAAACAAAGACGTGGCCGTGGCCGCTCCCTCCCTGTGCCCTGCACTGGCCACCACTGCGCTATGGAAGAGGACATCCCCCACTTTGTTAAGTGGCCAGGCGGAAACACCGGGCCGGAGGTGCAGGGGCTGGGGTGGGCGGGGGGAGCCC